ATCCCATCACCCCAGCTGGCTTTTTTTGACCAGCCCCATAATAAACCCCATACTCTGGTGTCAGGCTCATTAGAGCAGCAGAGCTCACCCACCTCCAGTTTTATGGAGAAGAATGGAAACACACTGATTTCTCACTGCATCATATTTCTTACCATGCATCTTGGTTTGGCTGGTCAAGTTCCTGCTAATATTTGTAGAGTGAGTTACTGACTCAATCTATTCATAAAAACATGACTCTGTTTAATAGATTTCTGTTAAGTCAGGAAACTAAATTACTACCAGATGTCCCCACTCACGGCCTGTATGAGGGTTAGTCTGCTGGTGATCAGCTTAGCTCAGTATCCAGAGACAAGAGTTTAAACTTTGCTCCATCTCTTCCCTCTGAGTGTTTCCTGGTTGCTGAGTGTTGCTCATACCCTGAGCAGACACATGAGACTTGGTGTTGGCCTTAAAAACAGCTGGGAGCTAATAGGAATATCTGTAATGCTGCTGTTCAGGTGCCAGGATGACATTTCCCTACCAGTAAACTCCCTTTGGGTAAAATACTTTCTGTTGAAGAGCAAAGCAGAGGCTCAGGCAGTTTTCTGTGCTCTAACAGAACTTCACTCTGTGTCCAGGCAAAGTCGGGTTTCCCTTTACTGCCCCCTACTCTGCAACAAAGTTTGCCTTGGATGGATTTTTCAGCTCCCTGAGGCAGGAGTTCACCATTCAGAGCATTAATGTTTCCATCACACTCTGCATCCTCGGCTTCATCGACACGGGTAAGAGCAGCACTGCCTGACCTGGCAGGTCAGGAGCTGAGCATCACCCTCAGCCTCCCCCCCTGCCCTCCCCTGTCACTGCTGCTGCTGCTGCTGCCGGGCAGCTCCTGCTGGCCCGGGGGTCCCACCTCCCACCCACCCAAACTCCTTCCTTTCCCCCCACAACATGAAACCAGCTCCCGCACCCAGGCCAGCGCAGCGTTAAACCCTTACAAAGGGCCCCTCCAGCCGCCCACGCCCCGTTGACACAACAAGGGGTGCGGGAACGAGAGGGCACGAGCAGGGCAGCCCAGGGGAATCCTCATGGATTTGCCCTCTGATGTGCGGACCGACCCGTCCCACTGCTGACCAACGTGCCGCGGGCCTCGCTCTTCCCGCTGCCCGTTAGCCGGGGCAGGCGCCCCCAGGACCCCCAGATACCTCCCCAGGGAGCCCCTCGAGTCCCCGGGACCC